ATTAAAAGAAATGCTGTACAACTATAAGTAATAAAGAAAACAAAATAGCAAACTCTTGGCTTCTTAAGCTATACAATTTAGCATGAGGCCACACATCCTTCTGAAAGAATCAATGCAACAACTTGCTCTATGGAGAAGTTCATATGTGTGGTAAATAGCAATGATTACAGTAGGCTGTTGGTGAAATTGCAACATTATTTCAGTTGCAACCTACGTACTTGATTCATAACCCTTAAATATTCACTAATAAATAAAGCAAGTTGAACTGGAAAATAACTATGTATTACAAAATAAAGGAATATTTAAAAAATTTAATGAAGTACATGACTGTGGTTTCAAAGCTATACATTTGTTTACGGTAAGAACTTGTACCCAAAACCTGGGTAAACAATATCCGTAGGAGCACTACAACACATGTTATTAGTTTACAAGTGTGTGTCTTTCACTTACCTTTGTGATTTTAACTCACTTATGGAGAGGTTAATATTCCTGTTAAATTCTCATGACTAGTAGAGGGTGCAAGTGAAAGTTACAAAATTATTTAAAATGCCCTGTCTTGTTTCATAACAATCACTCAAAGGAAAAATTATAATAAGTGTGTGATGACTTTTCAACTACGCTATTATCACATTGACCAAAAGTAAAGGACTTCTTGGAGAAGTAAGCAACTCCACATACCCTAAACACAAACAGTATCATGGGGTAGGATTTTTTGACTGCACAGTTTTTGCAATGGTTTGTAGTGCAGATGCAATGTACTCGGTGTTAGCTACAAGTTTAACCATGTTGGATGAAATTTTGTCAGTGTTGGTGGCAATTTCCTGAACAGAATTAACAAGCTCTACCAAACTGTCCCCCATTTGTGACTGAACCTGAATCACCTCCAGCATAAGATTTGCATCTTTTAGGGCAGAAGGGGTTCGTGGCCTGCTGCCACTTCTGCTCCTAGTATGACTTGTAATTGGTATTTGAGATGAATCCGGTTCATCAGTGGGATCACCAGTTAAAGTTGACCTCGTCTGGTTATCATCAGCTGTGGCAGAAGGGGTTTGAGACCTACTTTGCTGTTCCGTGACAGCAGCAAGAGGTCTTGCTTGAGATACATCTTTCTACAACATATGTTCTGGATGATGAAGATTCCTGAATGTTTTGATGTGATGAAGTTTCAGGTTCTAAAAGCACAATGGGTACTGTTATACCATGTTCCTGTATATCCTCAGTCAGCACAATGGTTAGAGAATCCTCTTTCTCTTGAACGGCCTAAACATAGATTCCTCACTTAAATGAAGAGTCGTAAACCTAGCTCCTGAGGGTCCGGGGGTTTGTTTTCTTTCTTCTGGAAAGAAATATAGAATAGCCTGATATAAGTCTATGTTTAGGGTATGCTTGAAATATTATAATTAAAAATATATTTCAATTTATAGAAAAAATGGTCTGAAAAATAGTGTTGAGCATCCAAAAGTATGTGTAAAAAATATTGTTTTAATTGTAAATATCAACTAAGTGAAACTTGGTTACAATATTATAAATGGATTTAATTATAATATAGAGCATTTAGCTCCAGCCGGTAAATTTCTTATATATTTTCACTTCTCAATTTTTTCAATTAAAATATGATTTATAAAAACATTTAATATCATCTAACCTAGGGAAGCAATAAGCCAGCTAAAAATGAAACCATCTAACTAATGTTGTTTAATTTAAAAAAAAATATACACAAATTCATTATATTTAAAAAATAAGATTTAACCTATAAAACTGAAAATAGGGCACCAAAAGTATTGTTTAAAATAAAAACAAGGACAGAAAAGAACAAAATATATCAGAGCGTTGGAAAAGTATGTCGAGTGAATTACCATCAATAGGTTCTTCATTTTCCCAAATCCCTGGAATCTCATGTATAGAGGCTGGATCTAAGAGTTGAAGAACTGCTTCTTCAATTGCAGTGTATGTATTTTCAATTTTGGGGCTGCCTCCTTCAAGAGAAAAAACAATTACAAACTTTCTTACTGTGAGCTGTGGTTACATACACTGTACGCTACTATGTTATATTTGGTAGGAATCATACAGTCATAAAGGAATCTATTGAAATAGTTCAATACATTCTAACCTAACCTATCATTGTAGTTGTATCCTACCTACCGGGGGCCTTTGCCCCCCAAATTCTCCTCTATCTCTGTCAAAAGTAAATTAGATTTACTGTAACAAACATTGTGGTGTAAAATAGAGAAAAACAATAATCGCAGCCAGATTTTTTCAACTTGTATTGGTTGTAAACTCGAAAGGTAGAACATCATTGCCTATAAGCCTAACAAATTAAGATTTGCATATTAATCTATGCAAAATATGAAATTAAACCACTTGATGAATCAAAATTAACGCAATAAAAAAAAAGAAGAAATTATGAGTAATTCTATGTCAAGCTACATATTATGACCTTCATTACCGTCGGAAATAATGAAATTACTAATATGTAGTATGATAGCACTAACCAAACCTACCTAACCTTACCTAACTTCCTTACCAACGGGTGGGCTCCGCCACCCTGGACCACCCAGAAGGATGTTAAATATCTCCGTTCTAGGTCATTTGTGACACAATGAAGAGTGTTTTAAAATTGTCTCGACTATATGATAGGTATATTAAGAAAATCCAAAAGTTGTGGGGCAATTAGTAGCAGTAATACTGACTAGTCTTTGGGTTCATTTATCGGCTGTACAGTTTTTACTAATTACTCACACAGCAAACTTTTAAGAACGATGTTTCTTTTAATGAATGTGCTCATATAAGGAAAATATGTGTATTAATTCACGATGAATAGCCTCCATACACTACCTCCTTGACTTTACAACCACCTCAAATCTTAGCAAGCCTCAGAAAAAACAGAGTTAAGTTGGTTTCAGAGTGGAAATCAATCCCTAGGCTAACAATATTAGGACTTACTTGTTCCACTGGTATATTTTTTTATCTTGTGCTGCTTTACTCTTCACGCTTACACGTACACTGTACATCGGAAAACTTCTGCCTGACCTCAACATTGTGGGGGATTCGTGTCACAATATTTCCCAGGCATGATTCTTCAATTTGACTGTACTTCTTGAGTCCAACTTCCCTAAGATTATTTTCTTTCTTTTTGCCACTTCACACACCATGGCGTATACTTCACACACCATGGCGTATGTGATACTTCCACACACCATAGGCGTGTGTTACCACACCATAGGGTGTCTTCACACCATTGTACTTCACACAATTACACACCATGGTGTCGATAGTGGCTGTCACACACCAACGTTCTTCACACACCATGGTATCCTTCACACACACACCATGTGGCTACATGACATCGTTCTTCACACACCATGGCGTTTCTCACACACCATGCCACACCGTGGTGTATACTTCACACACCATGGCGTGTCATTCACACTATAATGTACACCCATAGTGTCCTTCACACACCATATGTATTATTGGTATGCTTCACCATACTTCACACACTATAGCTTCACCACCATGGTGTCACACCGGGTATGTTCGCACACACATGGCATGTTTCACACACCATACTTCACCGGTCCACACACCATGGTGTTTCACACGCAACCAGATATTTACCACACCATAGTATGCTTCACACACCGTGATATTTCACCTGCATGTATACTTCACCATGGCGTGTATGTTACACACTGTGGAGTATTTCACACTGTATGATATACTATCACCTGACGTATTTCACACACCATGGTTGTCTTCACTTGGTATTTCACACACCATACTGCACTTCACACACACTTCACACATGTATGTGATATGTTTCACACACCATGGTATCACACACACACCATACATGTCTTCACCATATGGGCGTTTTCACACCCACCTTCACAGTGACACACCATGGCGTGTCTTCACCACATGTGTCCTTCACACCTTATGGCGATATCTTCACATGTGTCTTCACCATAGTATCTTCTTATGGCATACACACACCATGGCATGTCTTTCACACACACCATAATGATGTCTTCACACACCATGGCGTATCACTTCACACTTGGGCACCGTGATATTTCACACACATGGCGTATACTTCACACACCGTACACACATATTCACACAGCGATACTTCACACATATGTACTTCACATTACACACCATACTTTCAATTTGATGTGATCTTCTTATGCAGGCGATTTCTTATGCTTCACACACTGTATTTCACACACATATCCTTGTCACAAGTAGGTCCTTCATCTATTAATATCACGTGCGTCGATCTCAGCTGATTTCTCCTTCTCTTGTGATTGGTTGATGATTTTGTTAACTGAGCGCCGATTGGCCAACTAGCTCCTGCACTGCCATCTACCTTCGGACAAGAGAACTGAATTTACAAAGTAAACACTAGAGTTACGGACTGCTTATGGGACTGTAATTAAATTTTGAGTATGGGAAATTTACGCGACTGTAAGGAGTCTGTAATATATGGTACTGTATCTCGCTACTATACGTAACTTATGAGGTGTTTTGAGTATGCGGCCCCAGGTCTCTTGTTTACAGAGTGATAACAGCTGATCATTTCTGCTTTCCCGAACAATGTTGCCAACACTCAACATGTGTTAAACACCGGATTTTTTGGTAATTCGAGTGACCTAGAGTCCCTTTCTCGTCAAATTAACGAGGATATTGTGTATTATGATCAGATTAATGTCATGGGTTAGTTCAGACCATCAGTGTAAGAACTGTTTACATTTGTGTACAAGCTTTATCTTAATAAGGATGAATGAAGGAAGATTAATAAGAAGATAGATATTTCATAGATAAATGTAGATAATAAGTGAATAGAGACATGTCTTTTTAACTTACCAGCAGTTTTACACGTTTCATAAATGGAATTCTACATCCAAAGCAATAGCTTTAGACAGTAAGGACGCAATGTAATTGATATCTTTTCCAGGTTGTACTGAATGGCTTCTCTTATGTCATATTCTTGACAGGTGTTACCAGACAAGTTGGAGAATCACTTGTGTCCGAGAGCCCACTCAGAGTCCGTAGTGGTCGTGTCGTCAGTGTTGGAATCGCTCCATGGGGCATTGTTGAGAGGCGACAGGATTTGATTGGGTGCAGTAAAGATGTCCCTTATCACCCTATTAATTCTCCAAAATCAAAGTATGTATTAGAATAATTTTTTTTTTAATGTAATACATCACAGGTATTATTACGTAAGGCAGCATCGCTCTACTGCAGATACAGTATATTAATAGACATCTTCTACAGTTGAGTCTGGATTTATGCGTATGGTTATTTACGCGGTGCCTTGCCAGAATGAAATGCTTTAATTATGTGGTAATTTTGGTCATTTACGCGGAGAGGAGCTGGATGTCCAGCCGCGCCTCGCCATTTTGAATTCAAACCTCCCGCCATGTTTGACCAAAGCGAGGGTAAGTGGCGCGAGTAAGGTTGCGCAGTATGTCGCTGTTGCGTTATCGGTGATGTCATATGGACATTAACTGGTGACTGTATTTCTCTTAAATATTAATTGTATGTGCATACCATCATAAAATTAAGATGTTATTTTTACTGCAAGTAGGTATTGTGTCGGAAAAAGTGGAGTTTGGGGGTCGGCCCAGTCTCTATATCAATTAATCCCATATGTTCTGTTATTTCATTTACGCGTTTCTCGTTTTACGCGGTACTCCGCGGGTTCAATTGACCGCGTAAATGAAGACCCAACTGTATATCATTTTATACGTGTATAAACACACACGCACACACACACAAATCCATTAACAAAAATACGGTATAATTGAATATCCGCACCCAACATACCTACCCCTAATCTATTATCATATTCGAATAAGATGTCTAATTATAAGAAAATTTTCTTCTATTGCAGTACCCTAGCAAATGTATAATAACTTGGGTAGCGTATCCAAAATTTTCTCTATTTTCTTCCATTAATCTTCCACCATTATTGCCTACCTCACCTCCCACACTGGGTGTCTCTTTCATGAATCATCACGCGCATGCCTTCCCGTACACGTCACACGGCCAATCAAAAGCGTTTTTTTTTTTTTTTTGCAACCAATTAAAATGATTTGTGGTTTAATTTGTGGTATTTTGGGCCCAATCAAATTCGATTTTTATTTTAGGTCTCATATTTCAAAAATTCAAATTAATTTCCGACCATGGAAGTCTGCGATGGGTGTCACTTAAATTATATGGAGCTGATTGTCCTAAGTGCAAGAACGAATGTAAATGTCGTCAAGACCAACATATGTGGCATTGTGGTAACTCCAACAACAAACGTGAACCAGGCCAATAAGGTAAGAAATAAGTGATTCCATCACATGGTGAGAGTCAGTTAGGTTAGGTCAGGTCAGGTCAGGTCAAGTTTATGTTTTTCTAGTGTATTTTTGTGTATTTTGTATTCGCTTAGCCATTTTTTGGGGAAGCCCTAACGGCCAATTTCCGACGGAATGAATGTCATAACCGATCTAAACGCACATAAATACACTAGAAAAAAATATATTTGACATTCTAACAGAGTTGGGTGCACTTATACAAATTTACCAAAAATACAAACATACAGACGCATATGTATGTATGTCCGTGGGAATAAAGGCTTCCCAGATCTTAGTAAAGTACAGTACACATACCCCTTAAACAATGTTGGGGTTAGGTTAATGAAAGCCCCGCAACGACCCAAAGCCACAATCTTCATCCTCAGGAAGAGAAAATTGACCAAACACGAAGAAGTAACCACTCCATAACACATTAACTTCCCACATATCCACTTTATTTGTCTTATTGTATAGTTTTATATATTTTTCATATATCTAAGTAACATTAGAATATTGTAATGATTTTTCACAACTTTTATAGTTTCATTACAAGTAACAATATATGAAGCAGCTGGGCTGGCGAGTCGGCCACTTAGTTTATAGCCAAGGCCTTGGCTAGAACCGCCTCCATACATGTTCACTTCTCACATATACACACTTATGCTCCTCTTTTTCTTTTTTTTATTATATATTCTTTATTTTTAAGCCACATTAGAGAATTTCAATTATTTTTTTTACTACTATTATATTCTCATTAAAGGCAACAATAAATGCAGTGGCTAGGCTGGCGAGTCGGAGACCTAGTCATAGCCATCCACCTACACACACACATTGGCATCTCACACACCCATGCTCTTCATTTTTTGTATTTTATAGTTTTATATTATATTTAATTTATTTCTTAGCCACTTTGTTTTTATAGAGTAGAATAATTGTTAAAGAAGTCCATTTTTCTGAGACATGTGCCAGGAGTCAGCTGTGGCCTGCGAGAGATGGTAATGCATGTTGTCATTGTTACATATAATGAAACCACTACCGCCACCGCCTCTACTACCACCGCCACCACCACTCCCACCACCAACAACACTCACCATCACCACCAACAACAATCTCCATCACCATTCACCATCACCGCCAGCAACACTCACCATCACCAACAACACTAACCGTCACCACCACCAACACTAACCATCACGACCAACAACACTCACCATCATCACCAACAACAATCTCCATCACCATCAACAACACTCACCATCACCACCAACAACACTCACCATCACCAATCTCCATCACCACCAACAACACTCACCATCACTACCAGCAACACTAACCATCACCCTGCCTCCACCATCACCAAACAACACTCACCATCACCACCAACAAAACTCACCATCACCACCAACAACACTCACCATCACCACCAACAACACTCACCATCACCACCAACAACACTCACCATCACCAATCTCCATCACCACCAACAACAATCTCCATCACCACCACCAACACACTCCATCACCACCAACATTCACTAGACCATCTGTACAAAGTTGAGACAACAGTACTTCCTGCCACCCTGGCTGACAGTTCCCTTCGATATCACAATACCGACATATCAGCCTAAAAAATTAATTATACAAAGTATTTATCTACAACACACTGCCAAAGTGAGAGCTCTTGAACACATACACACTCTACAGACTGATGATAATATCACACAGACCATCTACACTGATCGATCATTTAACTCCGCCTGTGGGAGGGCTGGAAGTGCTATCGTTGTGACTCAACCTAACTGTAATACATAAGAAGAATGGAGGAAACTGCAGCGTGCCCATACTGGGCAGTCCCATTTACACCCAACCCCTATTGCTCATATATCCATCCAACCTATGTTTGAAGCTATCCAGTGTATTCGAGTTAATGATTATATTTGGTAACTTGTTCCACTCGTCCACTACTCTGTTTCCAAACCAATGTTTACCTATTTTGCGCCTAAATCTAAATTTATATACTGTAATTTAAAACCATTGTTACGAGTTCACTCCTGGTTGGATAGTTTGAGTACCTTGGTAATGTCCTCTTTGTTCAGCCCTGACTTCTATTTATGCACCTCTATCATATCGCCTCTTACTCTCCATCTCTGGAGGGAGTGCAAATTAAGATGCTTTAACTTGTCTCTGTACTCAAGGTTCCTAATGCCCGGGATTAGTCTTGTCATTCTCCTCTGAATTCTGTCATTCTCCTCTGAATTGAGAAAGGAGTTAGAATTAACAACTGGGCATCCTTTCTACAAATTTAATTAGTTGCCATACTCACAGATATCAAATTTATTGAAACTGCTGTCATTGACAGTCTCATCATCACTGACTCTCTATCCTTACATACCTGCCCTTGACACCCTCAACTCAAGTTGTCACGCTCTTGTCTCTGAAGCCAGACACAAATATGCGTGCCTTGTTGACCGGGATGTCAAGATCAAACTGTTGTGGATCCCCTTTCACATAGGCCTCAAAGAACATGACAGAGTTGATGCCCTCGCCAAACTTGCATCAAACAAAGACATTGTTAATATACAGTGATATCTCCGTTAGCTGGAACAATTGGTACAGAGCACTTCTGGGAATGAGAGATTTCCAGGTAATGAGACAACTCTCTCAAAGCCAGTAAAAGATCCCTCACCCCCAGAATTTTCTGGGTAACGAAATTTTTTTCCTCGGAAGTTCCAGAAAATAACCATTATATCATGTCTCAAAAAAAAAATCCCTCATCCCTGGAATTTTCCAGGTAATGGGTAAATTGTTCTAGGAAGTTTCAGAAATTACCCATTACATTATCTCTCAAACCCAGAAAAATATCCCTCATCCTCAGAATTTTCCAGGTACCCCTATTGGGAATATTCTCTCGGAATTTTCCAGAAAATGTGTACAGTACCTCAGAAAATCATTCTCAAAGCAGGAATTTTCAAGAAAATTCCTGCTTTGACAACGATTTTTTTTTATAGAAAATTTCAATTCTTGCTATCAGAGAGTTTTGAGTTTGAGGGATTCTGGCTAATGGAGATATTACTGCTTCAATCTTGGCCTATCACAAAGAACCCTTAAAACTGTAATTAGGAAGGAACTTATTGATGAATTTGACACAAGCAGACAAGTGCAAACAGGCACTAGTCTATCCATTGTTTGCCATAATGAGAGGTATCAAGTGATACATGTTAATGGAGCAAGTAACAAGATCACTCGATTACAAGATGTAATAACCACTGGACTAAGGTTAGGATATAATTATCTCTGGCAGTATGTTCCTCAAGCAGATGTAAACAAGACTAAATGTAAATTGTGTGGCCAGACATATGGCCACACACTCGAACACTACATCCTTGACTGTGTGAAGATAAAGCCTTTTAGGGACAGGTCCAAGCACACTGTGTGTGAAATGGCGCAACACTTTATCTCTAATGGCAAGATAGCCGACATATTAAGATTGTATCCACTTTTTTGCACTTAGTAGCTATATCAGTTCCCATATATAACACCAAGCACACAATGGGGTTAAATAACCTCTCATGCAAATGTGAATAACAAAGTGCGAGGCCAGACACACTACCTTACACTCCTGTACTCACGCAGTTGGGAATAAGTTATCCTTTATGTATAGAACTAAACAAAGAATTTATTTGAAATATAGTAAGTCCTCGCTAAATGCCGAGGTTAGGTTACCTCAAAACGCAACGTTATATGAAACAACATTAAGTGGATCAATTTTCCCCAACACTCACCACCAGCACCAACTACCACACCATAAGAACATAAGAATGGAGGA